CAAAATACTTCTTGTTTCCATTGAGGAAACCTATAAGCACTCGAGTAAAATACCAATCAAAACCAGTAATAAGGAGAACTCGCAGGAGCGCCAGCAGACTGGTAAAACTCTCACGGACAAAAAGCCGTTTTGAGGGCACTGGTTGCTGTTTTTGCAGGTTTCTTCTTGAACGAACAGCGCGCATTTCTTGTGTCAGCACCTTGTAACTTCTCTGCTGAGCATGCATGGCAAGTACGCTGAGGGAAAGTGGTTTGCATGAGATCCCGCCCAGTGTGTATGTACGTGCCTCGACTAATATCCCAGACCCGTTCTTATGGTTAGAATCCTACAGAGCCAAAATAAGTTCGAGATCGTAGTTCCCCCATAAAGCTTATCTACTTAGTTTTTTTATAACGGAAATTACCTCGTCGATAATCCTTTCACTCGCCCATAGGGCAAATGTTCAATCTTTTCCGCAAGAGCCTCCTTTCCTATCATCCTCAGTATCACTTTCAGCGCTTCGAAATGCCTCCGCTGTGCTCGATCAACAACATACAGATATTTGTCTGCTTGGAAGAGCTCATCTCGATCCAAAATACACGCCAATTCCCTGGAAAATGCGACATCCGACACTAATGATAGCAAACCTAAGCTAACTTATTAATTCGACATTCGAAATGAGTTTACAATAATTAGACGGAAAGGGCACGATGATATGTAGGACAACTATGAACATGGCATCTCACAAAAATGGTGCCACCAACTCGAAAAAAAGCCACGTCGAAACCCGTGTTGTGAACCCACAACCAGTCATAAATAAACATGTAGATGAAAATGTATGAGTATAATATGTCCCACATAAGAAATGAATGATAACATGTTAGCTCCACTCAATTGCACTCCCAAGATAAGCACCCTTGAAATCGTAAGTGCGTTATCGAGTCTCTAGTTCCCGTTGGGACGGTGCGCTCTTTCAACTCTTATTTTAAGTACCGCCATCGGTACGATACCTGAGCACCGCCCACATTCGCCTGTATATAAGCCTAGTTCTGTAGTGTATTTTGTCGGTTATACGGTTCGGTACGAACACGTCGTAATAAATCTTACACGTGCGAGTACTCTCATTGGTAAAACACCAAAACCCGAGCCTTCATTCATCTTGGCTTTAAGCTTCGAAAGTTCACCCATAGTTCAGTTATTGGCTATTTGCTTTTACAACTTTCATCAGTCTTCCTCGTCTAAATGACATGCATTCGGCGATAGAAACAGTGAACGATAGTGATGACAGGAATGCAGCAGGGTAGCCGGATAGGTACGAGCGCGCGGTTTCGGGGGCGACTTTATATCAGGTTGCTTAAAAATTTGTGATAGGGTGGAGATTTTTTCGTTCTATTTTATTCTATTTTACAACTCAGCAATCAATGCAAGCTAATCAACAATATGATGACCATCGTTAGTC